TAGGCAGAAAATATTTCCATGTGACTTATGATGGTATTTGATAGGCAAAAAGCAAGAAAACTGGATAATATTCTACACATTTTAGAAGTAAGATAATTCCAGATAAATATTTTAAGTCTTTTTCATTTATCATAAAAATTCACGTGTAAGCTGTTTTTACAAAAACAGTTGTAGTATGAATCTATGTGTGTGTGTATATATGTGTGTGTGTGTGTGTGTGTGTGTGTGTGTATCACATCCATTAGGAATAAAACACATAATACCAAAATAGTCCATTCGAATTTTTTTTGAATTGTACTTATTCTAAAATTTTATTTAGAATTTTCCTATGACACTTTATTTTCTATTTCCTAAAACACATGTAACCATAAATCTGGATAATCTATTACTAAAAACTTGTGGATTTTGTGTAAATCTGAATGTTTTGTAAATGTATAAAGTATATTATTTAAAAGGGAGGGAAAAACATTTTACTTCACAAGAAACTTCTGCTTCCTAAAGCAACCATTCCACTTTATTTTCACAAATAATGTATAAGAATTTAAGCTGTTTAGCTTATTGGATAGAATTTGATACTCAATATTGAGTTCATCATTTTTTTGAAAGTAATTGATGACTATAGTAATATTTCAATGTGATTTTAATTTTCATTTTTTAATAACTAATGATGCTAAAGATTTTATTATATGTTCCTTAGCCATAATCTATCTATCTATCTATCTATCTATATTTGGCAAAATAATGGGACTGCTGACTACTTTAAAACTGAGTTGTTCTTTAATTATTGTTGAGTTTTGAGAATTTTTTTATATATTCCAAATACAAGTTCCTTGCAGAGATATGTGATTTACAAATACTGTCTTCTAGCTATAACTTTAATTTTTCTTCCTTTCAAGTATTTTTAATAAAACAAAATATTTCAATTTTTAATGAAGTCCGGCTTATTTTATGGATTCTGCTTTAGTGTTGCATCTAAAACCTCTTGGCTGAATTCAAAAATCACAAATATTTTGTTATTTTTTTCCTGAGAACTTCATAGCGTTATACCTTATGTTTAGAACTACGATCCATTTTGAGTTAATTTTGTACAAAAACACATACGTTGGGTTCACACCCCCACCCCACGCCAATATATAGATGTTCAGTTGGTAGACCGCCATTTATTGGAAAGATTAGCTTTTCTTCATTTAATTACCTCCACCTTTGTAGAAGTCAGTTGGCAAAATTTGTGTGAGTCGATTTCTGGACCCTCTTTCAATTCTACTGATCTATGTGTGTCTTTTCACAAATAACCACATTGTCTTGATTTCT